GGACATTCTTTTTGTAATTGGGATAGAGAAACTTTGTCATTGATTGCCTCCTGGATATTTTGAGCCTCAATAGCAGCTACCATAGGACTTTCATGTCCATCATCGACATGATCAAACTCATAAATCAGTTTCACTTCTGTTCTCCATTTTGGTTTACACTCATCAAGATCTTCAGCATCAGATAATACATCTTCAGACTCTAATTGACAGATAATCGGTATCATCTGAGGGCACAGAAAGAATGTCTTTTGACAATGATATAGCTTGAACAGAATCAGTATTAAAAGGATTTTGAATACGACTAAGACAGTCAGCCACAACATTGCTTTTACCAGGTCTATGAATGATAGAAAACTGAAGATCTTGCATTCTTAGTGTGTGTCCATATCGCCAATCTACCAGTGTGTCTGCTGATTTTAACCATACAAGGGCACTGTGATCAGTGACAACAGAAGTGTTGTACCGTTTCTCTTCTTTTGTTAATGTTTTATTTCCATAGGCTACAACATATTCTTTATTCTCAAAATCTAATTGACCGAGAACAAAACTTATAGCTTCATCTGAAGCATCACATGTTAAAATGAAAGGTTTGTTTAGATCTGGGTAAGCAAGTACAGGAGCACTTATTAAAGCCTGTTTAATAGATTCAAAAACCGTTTGAAACGTAGGAGTCCATTTGAGTTTGACCGGTTGATTCTTGTGAGTGAGAGCATTTAGAGGAGAAACAAATTTTTAAAATAATCTTAAATGAAGCGGCGATAATAATTTTCTGGTCTTTTCTGGGTCAGCTCTTGCACCTTCTCGAGAAATGTAATGACCTAAGAATTTTGTCTATTTCATAGCAAAGTGGCATTTGATAGGGTGTAGCTTAAGAATTGCATGTTTGAGTCGATCAAATACCTGAGAAAGATGATTTAAATGATCCTGAAAGGTTTTGCTAAACACCAGAATGTCATTAAACCTACACTAAAACAAACTTCCAATTGAGACCACGTAAGACATCTGACATCATTGCCTTGAAAGTGATTGGAGTATTCATCAACCCAAAATTTATACGTTTAAACTGATACAGTCCTGTTTGAGTTATAAAAGCAGTTTTTGGCTTACTCTTCTCAGTAAGGGGTAACCATTACCAGACTTTAAATCAAGAGAACTAAAGTATTTGGCCTTGTTTTCACCAATAGCATCAAAAACACTCTCCATGTGGGGAAGGGGGGAAAGATTGAGGGAGATAACGGGCTCTGAGCTTGCGATAATCAATCGCTATTCTTATAGATCCAACTGAACGTTTAAAGCACATGACCACTGGAATTGCCCAACTAGACGAAGAAGGTTCAATTATGCCACTTTCTTGCAATTCTTGAACTTGTCTATCTTGTTCATCCCAAACATTAGGAGGTTGTCTGTAAGGATTTAACCGTACAGGTCTAGACCCTGGAACTGTTTCTATGTTGTGTGTTTATACTTTATAGATGTATGTACAACCTCAATCATTTAAAGAGGTTGCAAACATTGACCTGTTCTTCTGTAAAAAGTTCACACTTTTCATCAAAAGTAAGGTATTAGTTAGATAGATCAAGGTGAAGGTTTGTGTCCTTCTCCTTGCTGTTTGCTGTTGACACTGCTGCTATATGCTTAGTACTGTCATCAGTATTGAATTGTGAAACCTTAGCAATTTCTGTGTGTGCTCTTAGCTGAATCTCTGTGTGAGTTGGATTTAAAAGACGCAAACATTCTTTACCTTATTGAACTTTTACCACACATTTTGCAACTACAAGATTTTTAAGTGCTGGACAATATGCTTCCAGAGGTTTCAACAGAACAGTTCTATCATGAGTTTGTCTTGAAACAGACACAGGAATATTAATTTCAGAACGTCCAGGAATAGTAACTGCTTTTATTGTACTTTCAAGCCCTGCATTGATAAATACGGACCCTATAACCATTGTTGGCTTATTTATTACAAGTGTAAGGTCATCAAAATTTATAAAAGCACCTTGTCTTTTCATATAATCAAATCCAAGAGTGTGATGTAACTAATCAAGCACATGTACGGTCTGTGTAAAAATTGTGCTACCTACTGTACCAATTATATCAATTTTACCCAAAACTGTGACCTGATTTCTATTTGCAGCTACTACCTGTCTCACATTAACTGGCATTATATTATGTTTTGCATAAGTTGTCTTATTGAGAATTTGTTTGCTAATGACCGAAATGTTAGCATCGGTGTCAATTAATGCTTTGGTTGTAGTTTCACCTACAGTGACTTGTGTTGTACATTTTTCAGAGTCAAAGGATTTTATAGTAGAAACAGTTTCAGATTCTTTTATCTTGACATTTTTGTTATCTTTGTGCCTACCCTCGGACTGTTGCCTTAAGGAAACCCCGAATCCCTATGGGTGTTGCCCATGGCCTTGTGACATCGCCTTGATTCTCTCATTACATACATTAGTGAAATGACCATAAAATTTTACAAAAATGGCATGACCTATGAAAACCGGGGCATAATGACCTTGACTTACAATACTTACCACAACCTTTACAGGGTTAATTCTGTTTGTTTCCGAAATTGTGTCTTCTGTTCTGATTTTGTTGATTATTTGCATATGATAAATTGCTTACATCTGGCTTACATTTTGGCGTTGTTGATAAAGCTGCAACTGACTATAAATGGTTAGCTAGTCATTCAGACACGGTATTCTCGAGTGAAGAGATAGCTTTATGAATTATTTTTTCCATTGATTTGTCGTTTGTTTTTCGCATGTTAACTGTCATTTCTGCCGTGACTGCTTTATTTAGTAAATCTGTCATTGAAACTGGGTTTTGTGGAACGACAATTTGTTGTATTGGTTTTTTCATACCCTTGTATGTTAATTTAATTAAAAATTTTGTCTTTGTTATAGCTAAGAGTTCTATGTATGTATTCGGTGACAGATTCATGTTTTAATTGATGAAGATTTGTAAGACCTATGTCTTTTTCTTTTAAAGGACCTAAAACGGTTTTAAAAAGCAATTTTTATATGGTCTAGTGAATTTGTTACAGAGCTGTCTAACATATGATACCACTGTGGGGCAATACCATTTAAATAGAATGGCAAGCACATTATGGCTTCCCATTCCTCATACCTGAGTAGTGTAATGAAGAATATAAACGTTGTCCACCACTGCACGGCATCAATCATTCCGTCGAAATGTTGTAACGTAACATGTACCTTACTCCTTCTTTGTGATGGAGGCTGGTGAACTGCCGGTGGGGGTGCAACTTGTAAATCTTTTGGTGCTGGGTCTGGTTATGGCATTTGTAGTCCTGGTAGTGCGGCAGCTGGTTGTACTGGAGTTGGTGCTGGGGCTCGTTGTGTTGGAGCTGGCACCTCTTCCTCCTGGTGTATCTGAATCAAGTCTGCCTCTCCATTTTGAGCATTTTGTGGTTGTGGCATGTTGACAGATCTCAGCCAATACCTCATAAGTTAACCTGGATTTTTGGATTCTCCGCCAGTTGACACAGCTAAGTTTTGCGTGTATTGATTGTTTGGTGGGTAGAGCGGGTGATGAGGTATCTGGTGAATCTAATTTTTAGGTGTTGCTTGAATAAGATATAAAGCTGACATACATGTCTTTGTCAGGCCTGAAAATAGTCAAAACCAAGGATTCAATAAAAAGAGTCCTTATTCCTTGAGACCAAATACTCAAGAAAAAAAGTGAATCCATGGATTTAAGCTATTTCTCAGGTTTAGGCCAATCAAAAGTTATTTAACAAAAATTTCATAGTAACAGAGACAGATAAGTATACCACCTGCTAAATCACGCAGTGCCACTATGGCCATTTCTTTTTACTTATATTCAGTTTTTCCTTATAAAAACATCCTGATTACATAAAGTATTTATTTTCTAACCCTGACAAAAGAACTTATGGACTTTAAGTTATTTAATCTGTTGTCTTGCTTTTTCACATACGAGATAGTACAAATGAGAACACCTGCGAATAGTCTTTTCTTCGTCTAATAAGCTTTTTACTTGATAATCAACTTAAAAAGACCACTTTATACCAAAACTTCAAAATGTATATGAAAAATAATAAAATGTGTGCAAAATTCTTGCATTACAAAATTGAAATTCAAAAATGTCAAACTATTAGAATCATTAAGCAAAGTTCTGTATAAAATTCTTAAAAGAATTTAAATGCAATTTCTAACCATGACACTTGGATCTTTTGATACTAGAATTGTGTCTGATCTGTAAATTTACCAACTTTTTAACTGAGTGTCGATTCGCATTGCGGTGATTCGTGCATAGTGGTAGACCTTTACTATGTCAACGGACCGGTCTCTCTTCTTTTGGATACTAGTAGTCCGATTTCATGCGATTCCCTCCTTTATAGTGCCTTGATTTGTTTCTTCTTAATGGATTTATAAATTTGAACATGGGTGAACTACTGCACATTGGTAAACTACAAATTTATCAACAGGCTACTTTAATCGTATGTGCTAGTCTACGAAGCAACACATGAGATAATAAAGAACCTGTGTGTATGCCGTCCTGATAAAGAGATTATACATGTATACTGATCATCGACTGTTGTAACTTTATAATGTAAATCAATTGAGAAGCAGTGAAATCTTGGGTAATTATTCATTTTGTGAGTATGTTTGAGTAGTGTGATATCGTCGTCAATGAATCGTTCTATCTCACAGATTGAATAGGGGTTTTATCTAGGAATGTCAATCAGCTTGGATACTGGTTTATCACCCGAATGATGTTTTGAAAGTTTAGGCTTTAATATCACTGACTAGTTAGTCAAGTTTGTTTCGCATCAAGGCAAAAAGGAGGTGTGCATTATCTGTGTCACATGTCTCACGCCATCGAAGACGGAAATCGTATCCAGTCGTGCTATCTTTGTTTCAAAGTTATCTAGCAATAACCATTATATATGCGTTTCCATATTTAACCTACATTGATTATACAGACGTTTCTCTTTCCTGTCAGATAGACCACATGTACAAGTTTCTTTAAACCACATGAAAATTGTATTCTTCATTTAAGGATTTTTAAAGAAGTGTATGTTATGTCATGGAATTTTCCTTATAAACAGGTATATTTTATCTAGGAATGTACCACTATGTTTGGAGCATGCATTAGGATATGGATGATGAATATATGATAAAATGTATGCTACAAGGTGTCTGTATATATGAAGAGGTGGTAAGGGCTACAAAGTCAGTGACCGAAGAAACGTCATCGCCATGAGATAACATTTTGAACTATGAAACAGTTTAAAATAATTTTTTTATTTGTAAAATTTCGGCACGTCATTGCTTATTCAGCAAAATGTTTGACATTACATTTGTCTATCCGAAAATTTACCATAAATCCAACAATTCCACATGATGATTTTTATGAAAATTATGACCGCCCTCAGGAAATTAAAATTCAGAATTATTACACAATTGTCTTTAAAAATTATTTCTCAAATAATTACTAAATGTAAACGGAATATTTAAATAGTCCTTTTCTGATTTGATTTTAAAGTATTTTTTTTAATTATTTACAATTGTAATTCAAATTGTTTTTTTTTTAAACTATAAGTTATTGTCGATGACGAATATACTACTATTTAAAAATTTAATTAATTCAAACAAACTTTACGACTGCAATTCTTTACTAAAAAGGAATATGATTTCTTTTAAAACATTTAAAAAGTCATTCATTCTCAATAGTTAAATTTGAGACCATGGATTTCACTTAAATAATAATAATATTTACCATATCCCTTTAAATGCAAAGTAATATTGTTCATATTTTGTCAGATCAAATGTCACTGCATAGAAGTCAATGTATGGTTTCCTTCCTTCAACTCTGGACTTGTAGTACGATTAACAAGAGAAAAGGTAATTTATCTTCATTTCAATTTCTACAATTATCAAATCAAAAGTGCTCATTAAATGATATATCATATCGGTATTCGTATTTTCCCCTTTTGTTTAACAATTCATATGTGTATATATATTATTTATCTCGATGATTTTTCGACAAGGGTTTGCTAGGGTATAAAATTTTGTCATTCCTCGATCGCGACTTCTCCCGTCCACCAGTAACACCATTGCTTAAGTGAGTCGTCTGTTTAGATGTGCAGGATGTATAAATACGCAGTAACTTCTGTAATCGCAAATTACGCTGCGCAAATAACGTCTTTACCAATCATACTAACAACGTCCAAAGCTACTCACGAATATTTTAAACCTTGCAACATTATGTATGTGCCTGTCCCAAGTCAGGAGCCGAAATTCAATGATTGTCGTTGGACATGCCTATCATATTAATTTTTCGTTAATTGTTTTGTTATAAATCAGGCCGTTAGTTTTCTCGTTTGAATATTTCACATTTTTTTGACATGTCATCGAAACTGCGGGGTCATGGGATCAATCCCTGACCGGGTCAAAACTAAGACCTAAAAATTGGTAAACAAATGCTGCTTCTCCGCAAAGCTGCAGGGTTTAGGAGCAAATACCGGTCAGATATGAGTCGGAATAAATGGTCTGTGTATGATGACATGGCTTCCTGAGGACTGTTACCTTGTGAACTAGCAAAACAGGCTCAATGTGTCGATCCAGTACAAAGCAGGGTTACCATAAATATGACTCTAACATGTATAAATTGTTATCGCCCTGATATCCATGTAATATTTGCCACTCGACGTTAAAAACAAATTCATCATCATCATCATCATCATCATCATCATCATCATCATCATCATCATCATCATGTTATCAATAGCCTGAAACATTACGGAATATGCGGGAACCTTCTTGTATCCAGCTGACAGAGTATACATATGCCTGGACGGTAATGGACTCATACCATGTTGGTTGAATAAAACGTCACAAATACAAAACATGAAAATCTTTTTTACAATCGATGGTAGTAGTAAGAAAAAATCCACATTATAAAAAAAATTATTCAACTATTTTTTCGAAAAACTGGAAAAATCTTTTGGATTTTTCGTTCCTTTGTGAGCATATTTGTACAGATTACACACCAATTAACCCAAGGAAAATTGTGTTTAATAACATTTTAACATACAGTGTTTGGTATGCATTTTCATTAACTTGTATAGAATGATAGCTACCTAGCTGACATTTACAACACGTCTTTTATTGGTGTTTCATGGACTTACAAAAACCGACTTATTAGCACTAACACGTTATTGCTACGTATTTGAATTAATATGATTTACTGCGCTTGAGAGATCATTAACTCAGTTTACATCCTCTTCGTTTATTATATTAATATGCAATTTTAGTTTAAATCCAGTCTTAAAATTCTGATTGAGTATTTTAGTCTCATTGGATATATAGCTATTGAATATGCTGGTAAGTATCAAATTTGTTTGTTAAATTTAAATTGCTTGTTGTTTTTTTTTTAATTTAGTGATATGTTAAACATTATGTATATTTTAATGTGATGTGTGAATAATTACCATTAATATTTACTGAAAGAGAACATGATCTGTGATGTTTTTTTTCCAGCATTATCATTCGTTTCAGTAATTTTCAGTATTGTATGTTCATACCTTTGATATGGTATACTTTTTACTGTATGTTCATACCTTTGATATGGTATACTTTTTACTGTATGTTTCTATGTTGTTTTTTTTTTCTCTTTGTGTTACAATGTTCATTTACCTTAAATGTGATGTGTTTTGTTTGTTCATCAATGGAACATGGAAGGCATGTTTCTATTATTTGTCTTCTAATACTTACATTGACCCCCTAAATAACCCCATACGGAAACGTATGCTCAGTATATATTTTTAAATGTAAAGTCATACCGCAAGGTTGTAGACGTAATATTCTTCACACATTAACAATCAAAGTGTTCTTCTTTCAGAAATATATTGCTCACTTAGAAAATCAAGTTTACCATGACTAATGTTTTTCATTTGTTATATCTAAATGAATTTTTCTTGTGACTTGGACTGACAAATGAGTTCATTTATTAACTGCCTTAGAATTAAAAAAAAAAAAAAACTTTCGATTTTTAAAAGAACCGTTAATATGAAAAACTACGGAAGCCGGCAGGGGGGAATTGTCGTAATTACAATAAAGGATGCGGTTAAATCGAGATAGCTATGCATGGTCGTAATCCTAGTATGTTGTAATAACGACACCCATTGTCGAAATAACGACCTCCTATATCGTTTAAGGATTGCGTGGAATTAACGAGATAATTATTTTGCTGAAATAAAAGACTTTTTTTAGTCATTTAAATCATTAAATAATCTATTGAGTATATTCATTTATTAATTGGTATGATCATTTACATAGATAGATACATTTTGCAGTATGATAGTGGCATTATATTTACGTAAGTTTCATATTCTGTTCGTAACTAATCGTATGGAAATTTGTCGTCACTCGGCAAATTCCGGAAATTGATACACCAACGTTGCATTTTAATGGAAAAAAACGAATATAAGGAAACAGGAATTTATATCATGAAAAATGAAAAATAAGAAATAAAATATTTTCAAATTTTTATGCTCTATGAAAATGCCGCAATGTTTTTCAGCAATTAAGGATTGTACATCTTTTATCAGTATATATATATATATATATATAAGTCTAAATTGAAAACAACGTTCAAATCATAGATATAATTATATCTATGTTCAAACCTATGCTTGCGTTGGATAAAAACCGCAATTTTTATACGTATGCATGCAAAACAAATTTCTTGGTAAAGGGGTCTAAATACAGCACTAACAAAATTTTCCAAAAGACCAAAAAAAGTGAAAAAGTATATTTAAACAAAACGCATTTGACTAACAGGTCGAACAACGGATGTTCTTAAACCCTGCTGACTGCCATTGGCGATTGCCAAATAAACGGATCACAAGATGTTACACAAAGGATCTTTATTATTAATTTAATACCAAACAGAAAACAATAAACTTGCGGAAAAGATGGTATACCGCAAACATGAGGTGCAAAAATTTGTACACCATATCCGGATTTCGACAATTAATGTCTCGTCAGTGATGTTAGGAATCGAAGCGGTATTTGGAAGGCCATATAATTTACCTCAATTTAAATATATATAAAACATCAGAGTGAAATTTATAAAAATAGATAAGTTCTTTTGAGTATTCAACAATTAAGTATTTCTTAAACATGATTACATATTTTAAAGTGCCTAGGTCTTACAGTATGAATTGTGTATTTGAGATTGATATTTTTGAACAATAGCATTGTTATAAAATGATCTTATAAATTTTTAAGCATCGGAAAACTGGTATCTGTCGAATAGGAAAGCTATACGATTGTGTTTTAGTGTACTGAATATAGAGGATAGAGAAATCATATTTGTCAACAGCGAACATTGACCTACAAAGGATCATTTACAATGTACTCTTTGTAGAGAATTTGGTGTTGATGGCAGGTCTTTCATATTCTCTGTTAAATCTATTAATAGTTTTGGTCAGTTTAGAGCTTGACATATTGTCATTTGTATAGGCATGATGCCCATCTGTCTATTGTTGAAGTCAGCGTGTTGAATTCTAGGTGTATTTTGTTTATTTGTGTCGTAGAGTTACTTTCTAATCAAAACTTAACTATTATTCCACATTATAGGTATATGTAAATGGTACTTAAGTTATTACCCCGTCCCCTCGTTCCGCCAACTTTTATAACGTTCTACATTTGTAGCAATTGACGAAATAAAAGTTCCATATACATAACAACGATTTCCCACATACGCTGTTTTCGCACGTCTTTGTAAACTCAAATGATCGTATATGAAATCTAATCTTACAAATTTACAGTACTTATCAAATCTTCTTTGATTAACTTTAAGTTCATGAATTTGATATCGTTAAACTTCAAAACAGAAAACAAATAAATAAGTAAAAAAGAACCAATCACCCGGAAACTTGTCAATAAATACAAAACCTAAGTCCTGTTAGCAAAATAATGATTGACCCATGAATTCTAACTTTAATATCTAAAACTGTTTAAATTAAAGAATTATTCATTGAATTTCCCAATTGTATTATAATGTCAGAAAGAATTGTTCAATATTCATATCTATACACATAAAGAAAAGACATAAAATTTTGAATTAAATTTAAAATCTTTTCTAGAATGAAATTTTTTTTCACAGAAAATTTCGTTCTGAGCGTTCCAGATGAAGGCAAACGCAAAAACTCCGAAATCTTTCTCTTTCTTTTGAATAGATTAGGCTGAACATTTGAATAGAATAGGCTGAACATTTGAACATTCTATTTTCTTTATATTTTCAGGAAAGATTATAAAATGAACACAGTTTGTATTTCTTCACGAGTATAACAGAAAGATATGACTGACGGTACGTGAATATACTAATGAATTATCAGTTTTGTGTATATGTTCTGAATCATATGAGTATCTGGTCCGACCATACGCGTATGGTCCTAATATGTTGAAAGTACCTTTACTGTAAGTTGCATAATTTATGACCCTTCAAGGTTTAAAAAAATGACATTTTGACTTATTTAACATGTTTAATCATATGCATCATTGTTACATGATTAATGAAATAAAGTCAATTTTACTCACAAGTTAAAATTATGGTAAACACATTTTTACATGGTCATTATCATCACGAAACAAAATAGTTTTTGACTTTGGAAAATAACTTCAAGAAATATAAATGAACCGTTAAACAAGAAGTCAACTGATTTACTCATAGACATTTGAGGCATTGAAACTTTTTTTTATCTTTTTATATTTATTTCTTAGTGTTTAAATTTATTTTTATTAAATAAAAATTTCTTTAAAATTTCAAATAATTTTTCATTTATTTAATGTTCATACGATTTTACAATGACAGTAGTTTAAACGTGCTGCATGTCTATTCTTATGTAGAAAATAGAATAGAGGGGCAGCATGTATACTCTATTGTTATTGTATGGTCATATTAATAGGAGCATGAGCATATCAGCTAAGTGAAAATAAGTAGAAATTAGAAGAAAAGAAGAAAAAAACTAATCTAAATAGCGGGGGGGAAAGAAAAAAATGGCCCATGCATCAAATTCCAGTGATTTTACTTATGACGAAAGTGTCGACATGATAAAGGCGCTTTAAATTGTCTCTAGCGAAGGCAAGATAACAGATATACCAATATTAAGGCAAATTGTCAAAGATAAACGATTTTATTTAGTAACTTCTCTAGGAGGTAATCCTAAATATCCATAGGTCTGTTCTATGTTCCTTGGGAATTTCAACCAAATACGAAGAACTGGATCTTCCTTCATTGTATTGGATTACATAAATTACATAAGTGACCTGACAAACAACTTTATAATGCTGGGTCTTCCAAGTGCTCCACGAAACCTCTTTCTAAATTATTAACATCAATTTTATCAGCAATCAAAGCTGGGCTTCGAAGTTATTGCGAAACTACCTACTCTAGGGGCGGCGTGAATCAGATGTAGATACTAAACAAAGTAAGATCTGTTGGAGTACATACAATCTAAGACTCTTTCCACTTGCAGTAGTATTTAAACATTTGACTTTTCTACCCTTTACACAAGTATTCTCAATTCCTACTAGAAACAAATTGAGAAAAAAAATCTATTAAACCAATAGTTCAACGTGGTCAAGTTGAAATCGTCCTTTCGAAAATTTAACGGACGCCATCATGAGTTGGTCGACCGTTATGGAATGTCAGTTTAACAGATGACGACGGATGTGTTCTTATTGTCGTAACTACAATCCCTTCCTCTTTTCCTCTAATGTGACCTACCGAATTTGACTTACCACCGTATTTGTACTTACATGAACAACACGATGGGTGCCACATGTGGAGCAGAATCTGTTTATTATTTTGGAGCATCTGTAATCACCCCGGTATTTGGTGGGGTTCGTGTTGCTCTATGTTGTGTTTTGTGTTCTGTTGTTTGTCTTTTCGTTGTTTTTTGTTTGCCATTGCATTGGCAATATAAATAAGAAGATGTGGTATGAGTGCCAATGAGACAACTCTCCATCCAAGTCACAGTGTGTAAAAAGTAAAAAGTACGGCCTTCAACACAAAGCCTTGGCTCACACCGAACAGCAAGCTACAAAGGGCCCCACATTGACTAGTGTAAAACAATTCAAACAGGAAAATCAACGCTTAATCTATATAAAAACAGTTTGTTTCCGACTTATATGAGAATACGCATATGGTAATGACCATACCAGCATGGTCTAAATACTCATATGGTCTGGAACATATATACAATGTACCCCATTTGTATCTTCTCCCCCTTTTATATTTGCAAGAATCAAAAACAAGACACCGAGTATTAACTAAAACAATATTTCAAAATGGATAGACAGTATTCCGTCTAAATGCGTTTATGAGGTTAAATATAAACCCATCTATGTGTATATACAGGATTTTTCTTTTTTATTTATTTTCGTTTGTTCAAATTAAGCACACGAATTAATTGCTTTTATACAGCAGTATATGTGAAAAACGTTAGAGGGAAGGACATTTGATAGCTATTTATTTATGGATATAATTACATTCCAACTTTAACAAAACCTCTATTGTGTCAAACTAAGGTATAATATAGGCTGCATATCTATAAAAAGACCTAATTTAATTTATTTTGAGCATTTGCATATCATTAACATGTGTTAAAATGGGGTTATCTTTTTGCTGTAATCTGTACTTTTTTTTGGAAATCACTCATGTCTACGTAAACACACACCAAATATCATTGATTTATCAAGAATACTTCAAAATTTAAAATACAATTCAATGTATAATTATATTATTATCTATTACGTAGGTTTGATTCTAATGACAGAGGACACCAAGTCCCGAGTTAAAAAAGTATGGAAAAAATTCTCAACTAAACAGGAAGACATGTATGAACTTGGTATTGCAATGTTTCAACAGTAAGATAATAATTAAATAGATTCTATAAATCTACATTGAAATGAAGGGGAAAAAAACTGTTGTGTTTTCATCTGAAGAGTCAAATCAGTAAATGAATGTCTGGTAAACACCAAATGTTTCAACAATGTCATGAAACATCCGAAGGTCAGAATACGATCTTCGACAAGAAAGAAGTCTTTATATATACGATATTCACTCTCTTAATGTCTCCGAGTTTACCAAAGTTATGACTCAATTTTACAGAGACTTACAATCTGAAAGTTTTATCTTGAACAATCAACTCCGTAATATATTGTTGTATACGTCTTAATCTCGATCAGTGTAATAACGGAAAGAATACAACAGAACGAACAACAAACTCAGTTCAGAAAACACATAAATGTAGGATATGAAGGGCAACAGAAACAGATACACAGACGAAAAATACAATGAAATAATTATACTGTCTGCTTCTTATTTTGATGTCTTTTCTTTGATCTGGCCAGGAGACCACCAAAGCAGTTGAGTCTTTTGCATTGGTAAAATTTAATTAATCCCTTTTAACAACTTTGTATTGCCCTTTCTTTAACTGAGCTGGTAAAACACATGGGTGTTATTTTTCATGATACGTAAAAGTTACTCGCCTTTTCAGCATTTTTGTGAAGAAAATGCTTCAGACCAGCCGGGAAAAGTATGATACTTAGACACCTGCATAATTCGTTCTCAAAATGGAACAAATATAAATTTTGGGCTTCCTGGTTGCTCGTGCATACGATATTGATTTCTTTTTGCATGACTGTTCCATCAGAATCATTTGATAACTGCCCCAAAACGAACTTGCGTGAATCGGTAAAAAAACTTGCGTGAATCGGTAAAAAAACATGTCAATTACTTGTTAGACGGTATCATTAAAAAGAGACAAAGCAGTGCACTTAAATCTTAAATCTGTATTACCAAATGTTTTGATTCTTTGTAATTAAAAATTGTAATTTGAAATTTAGGGTGGGTAATGTTTTAAATTTTCAGGTTATTTAAAAAGAAACCTGAAACAAAGGAATTATTTTCCTTTGATGAAAATAATCCTGATAGATGGAAAAGGGTGAAAAGTCATATTAGACTTTTGTTTGATATGATAGGTGAATCTGTCAGTTCGTTAGACGATCAAACATCTATGACACCTGTTCTTGAAAACTTAGGAAACAGACACTTTCATTATGGCGTCAAACAGGATTTTTACCTGGTATGTATAACATGAATGATAAACCTAGTATTCTACAAGAAGTCATTAGTATAAAACTGTTACCACATTGTTTATTTTTGAACGCGACCATATTTCCTTGGACTACTTTCAAATTTGCAGTAACAAATACGTTACATTTAAGACGGTGCACGTACCAGTCAAAGGTGTGCGTAGTTATTTTGGTAAGGCACCATGTATTGATTTAGAAAATTGGTTTTTTCATCTTTGATAACCAAAAACGATTTTTTCACTAACATGCAGCAATATGTTGTTTTTTTAAATGAAAATCAGTATTTTTTTAAGCCGAGACTTCAGCTTTTACACGCCTATAATACTATTACATGTACTACTACAGAAAAAAAAACCGAATGCAATTCTTTCTTTAACTCAGTTTGAATATCATTTCACAAAGTTGTCATACATACTGTTGATAAGGATGGATGGATGTTAAACGTTAAGTAAGGTTATCTCCCAATCACATTTAGGACCTTATAACCTTAGTATGATATGAATATGACAAATATACTGAAAGAATAACCCAATCCTAAGTATTTGTATACGGAGCTAAAAAAGAGAGAGAGAGAGAGAGAGAGAGAGAGAGAGAGAGAGAGAGAGAGAGAGAGAAACAACATAAGCAGCAATAAACCAACCATTTGTCGAATGCTTTATTTTTATTCATACACTTTCGGGAACGAAGAAATAAGTATGAAAATTAGATATAATCAGTATGGTCGTTACCAAGGAATTGTTATGGCTCATTCATTTCTTTTGATCCCTAAGTAGTATTGGCTTTTAACAATTTGTCATGTTTGTTTACTAGGTGTTTGGTGAATGTCTTATACATGCAGTTGAGGAAGCACTTGGTGATAGCCTTACTTTGGAAGATAAGGAAGCATTTATGACACTGTACCACTGGATTGGTGGTTGTATTGTAAAAGGAATAGCAATGGAGTCTTATAAATAAATGTTTTATACCTTGAAAGAATTTTGCCTTGAACTTTCATTCAAGTGTACTCAGTAATATGGAACCATTTTTGTGGTATGATTTCGTGCATTTTTTATGTAAAAAATAACTTCGCTGCTTATTTATTCATTTATTTACTTTTTTTTCACTGGTGGGTCAAGATCTTTACAAAAAGCGGAATGAGAGAAGAAGAAAAACCCCAAAACAAATCCGTAATTTTTGTTTTATATATAATGAAAGTGAAACCATTTAAGAACATGATTGATATGTTAAGAAACAAATATTCGTACCTCTCGGAAGTTAGCGCCTTGCATCCCGATCCGGATATTTCCTAGCTTTAGAGATAAAGTTAAAATCTATATACTTTATTCTATCTCCATTTTCATGATCATTCTGTCATGTATTTGAGTTATCACGATGAATTACGTATATTCCGTATTGAATTTTATGTTTAAATTAGTAGTGGTTACTCGACAGCCTACTTACGTCAATCAGCGATCGGGACATATATGATGTCAGTGTTACCCGTGTCTTTCCTTTCTGTCTTTTTTGGTCTTATTTGTCACTCAGTCATTTATATCCAACAGTTGTCCTGATCTGTTTTACTATGTAGATATTGAGCTAATTTTTGGTTCTTTCGTATAACTGGTAGGTTACAGATCGAGTTCATTTCGTTCCGTTTAACGTACTTTTTACGGAAATCTGGAATCTTTTCGTGAGTTCATAGGCGAGGCATTTGGGTCGTCCAGACACACCTTTTTTTATTTTTCCGTGCCAAGTATTTGAAAAATCGCAATGTAAGCCTTTGAACAACATTTAACGTTCGGAAAGACCCGGTCGTATGAATGATTTGTTTACACTGAATAGCAAATATGGGTATTTTTGAAGTGAATTATTGCGTACTTTGAAATCAATATTTTTACTACCTATGTTGTGAAAACAATCAATATTTGAGATAAAGATGAAATATATTGTAATACGATTCACTGACACAAATCGAATATTGTATTGTCCTCATGTATGTGCAGCCAGAGACATATATATATTGTATTATATGTCTCTGGTGCAGCGCATGAATCAACTATAAAATAGTGTAAAATTCATGTTCATCGATTTGACTCAAACTCTCATATTTGATTTATAACATATTAAAACGTATATCCAAATTACAAAAAGTCTAAAATAAACAATTTTTATTAATAATGCATAGACTCGATACTATGTATCAATATTTCATGTGTATTTTTGTCTAGACGTCATCTAATTAACCTAATTAGATGACCTCCGATGACTGCCGACGGTCATATATCCCGATATTAACATAAAAATAAATATAAATAGATAGAAACCACGTATAATTGGATTTTTCTAGGTCTGTTTGATTTCATATTTTAAGTTAAAAAGTATGTTTATCGTGGTTTTTACCTGTATAAGAATCATATTTTGTGGATCGAATCAGTCAACCAAATGGTTCATCTTTGTTTCACTTTCAATGTTGAAATTCTTTTCCTTTTAATAGCTGAATACATGCGCAACCCATCTCAAGCTAAGGGGCTAAATAATTGAAGGTCACATGAATACGGATTTAATGAGGTCAAATAATTCACTTGCAAGTGAATGATTCATCAGCAATGTTTCGTAGCTTATTTTGACAAAATTGAACCAAATTGGCTGCTAAAAGCGAATTATAATTTCACTATTTCACTTTCATTAATGATTGAACAAAATAAAAACAATATTTCATTTTTAGCTCACCTGGCCCAAAGGGCCAAGTGAGCTTTTCTCATCACTTGGCGTCCGTCGTCCGTCGTCGTCCGTCGTCGTCGTCGTTAACTTTTACAAAAATCTTCTCCTCTGAAACTACTTGGCCAAATTAAACCAAACTTGGCCACAATCATCATTGGGGTATCTAGTTTAAAAAATGTGTCCGGTGACCCGACCAACCAACCAAGATGGCCGCCATGGCTAAAAATAGAACATAGGGGTAAAATGTAGATTTTGGCTTATATCTCTGAAACCAAAGCATTTAGAGCAAATTTGACGGGGTAAAATTGTTTATCAGGTCAAGATCTATCTGCCCTGAAATTTTCCGATGAATCGGACAACCTGTTGTTGGGTTGCTGCCCCTGAATTGGTAATTTTAAGGAAATTTTGCCGTTTTTGGTTATTATCTTGAATATGATAATAGATAGAGATAAACTGTAAACAGCAATAATGTTCAGCAAAGTAAGATCTACAAATAAGTCAACTTGACCAAAATGGTCAGTTGACCCCTTAAGGAGTTATTGCCCTTTATAGTCAATTTTTAACCATTTTTCGTAAATTTTTGTAATCTTTTACAAAAATCTTCTCCTCTGAAACTACTATGACAAATTTAACCAAACTTGTCCACAATCATCATTAGGGTATCTAGTTTACAAAATGTGTCCGATGACCCCGCCCGCGAAACAAGATGGCCGACATGGCTAAAAAATAGTACATAGGGTAAAATGCAGTTTTTGGCTCATATCTCTGAAACCAAAGCAGTTAGAGCAAATCTGACGAGGATAAAATTGTTCATTATGTCAAAATCTATCTGCCCTGAAATTTTCAGACCAATCAGGCAACACGTTGTTGGGTTGCTGCCCCTGAATTGGTAATTTTGCAGCTTTTGGTTATTATCTTGAATATTATTATAGATAGAGATAAACTGTAAACAGCAATAATGTACAGCAAATTAAGATCTACAAATAAGTCAACATGACCAAAATTGTCAATTGACCCCTTAAGGAGTTATTGCCCTTTATAGTCAATTTTTTACAATTTTCATAAATTTTGTAAATTTTTGTAAATTTTTACAAAGTATTTTCCACTGTAACTAGTGGGCCAAGTTCATTATAGATAGAGGTAATTGTAAGCAGCAAGAATGTTCAGTAAAGTAAGATCTACAAACACATCACCATCACCAAAACACAATTTTGTCATGAATCCATCTGTGTCCTTTGTTTAATATGCACATAGACCAAGGTGAGCGACACAGGCTCTTTAGAGCCTCTAGTTTTTATATCTCGTAGCTAATGCCCTTTTAACGCATGTCGTTAAAATTTAAAGTTAGCCGTGTGTATGATGAAATGTAAGGTTAAAAGGTGTGAAAGTTGGAGAATACACAATTTGCGACACTCTAGTATTCAAATCTGCATACAAAATGTATATGCAAATAAAAGCGAAGAAAGTGTATGAGTAGATATACTAGAGCAAGATCAATCTGTTCAATCTTAACAACATTTATCTTTCGGTTTTAACCATTCGTTTTTCAGCATATTCGTTCCTTTGATTATGTTTTTCATAACGATAATTTTATATGGTTTTTGAATAGATAATATAAGAATTGATTTTATATACAAAGCATTTAAAATAATAGAAATGAAAATCAATAGTATACACAAACATTATATAAGTTTATCAAGATAGGAATTTCTTTTAATTAATGGCGATTATGATGGAATGGCTCTTAACGTCAAGTGGCGAATATTACAAGCATATCAGGACGAGACAATGTACGTGTGACTATATATACTAGTCAACAAAAGAAACGATACAAGGCAATGTTTTTTCCATACATTATGAAATTAGATACACTGTATCAAGGTAAATAATTGCCCAATTGGTCTTATATTTACAGAGTGTTGTTTTTTTACTAAAACCATTGATTTAGGCAAATATGCGATTTTTTTTTTTTTTTGCAATTTTAATTTTAAAAATCGAATTTTCACCCAAAAACTCAAAAATCGATATTAGAACTTAAAACTTTAAGTTGGTCTGCTGAAAATTTTGAATGCGTCTGCAGATATTTGAATACTTAATTCTCATCTTCGAAATTAAGTGCCGACTTTCGTCATCATTTTCCGCAAAATAAATGTGCCCCATATGTTCAATAACACGGTATTTTCTCACTTTCCAATTTGGTCAGATTCTTTTAATCATAAGCATTTGCTTTGCAAATGAATGTTTTTCATTGGATTATTTAACAGTTTTTCCTATTTATTATATTCTATGATAAATTGGAGTTCAAACTTGTGTATCGTTACTTTTGTTGACTAGTATATAAGGAATTTCATGATATGTTTGTGAGTGACTTAGTCCAGTTTAAACACCAATAAATTCTTTTAAAAATACGTTAGTCCTTATAATTCTTTAAAATTAGAGATAAGGAAATTAATTTCCCCACTCGTAATCTCTATCACACGTAAACTGTAGATAAACGTAATTCCTAATATGCAAATCATATCAGAATTATATGAATATAAACTCTGCTATGTAATAAACACACTGAGCCGGGTTTTTACCGTTCTTGTTTACAAGGTTACAGTCCACAAGAAGACCGGTCACCCTACCCGAACACAAGTTATTCTGACTCCGACCCAACCAGCTTTTATTTTTATCACAAGTGCCGCGTTAGACATACAGATGTAATTATACGTGAAACGATTGTGCTATACTATTACAAGATGTATACGGGTTCATATAGAAAACGAAATTATATCGCAAAGAAAGACAAATATTTTAAATGGGCCTTCGTCAGTGTTGACCTTTTTTAATTTCATTTAATTTCCTTTCTAGTCCGGCACAGAGCTGTGTTTTTATAGGTCACAATCCTTAAACAAATGGCAGTTTTGTACAGAATATCATTATAGATCGGTGAAATACTTTTTAATTACATTTTTTGGAAACAGTATGACAAACGACATTTTGATAAAAAAAAATATCACTTTAAGATCAAGTTATATTTTCAAAATTTCACTTTACATAATAGTACAAGGTAAAATAGTGAACTTCAAACAATTAACAATTAAGTTTGTCTAGAGAAATAATATGAACACTGTCACTTCCGACTTGTTGTCCTTCTTCGTCAGCACAGTAACACTGTGACCCTGTACACTGAATGTCGTCATAGCTTCCATCGGCAGTACAACGGAACACTTTCCCAACCATACCTGTTTCCTGATACTCAACTTGAGAACGTGCGCATTCTGTAATTAAATTATATAGACTTGAATTAAATGTTTTTTTCATCAATACGTTTTAAGTATAAGAAAACAAATATTTCTATTGGAGTAAAGATTACACTCATTCAATCAAAGCCTTTGAGTGTTATTATGTTTTTAAACTTAATCACTGCTTTTGGGATAAAAGAAATATAGTGAATAGACTATTTTCATATTACCGACTTTTGACTCCGGATTATATAATTTGTTGACTGGTTACCTTAGACATCATGGTACTCGGTCAAGTAAGAATAGCCAAAATAAGTAATATCAAACATATAATTGGTGTAATTTGAGGGGAAAGTTTACTGTTTTCCGATGATTTTGTAGTGAAAAAAAAATATTAACCAGGTAATTTTCCCCCAAAATTGTACCGATTGAAAGCTTGGTTTTACTTCTTTAGCTTGCTCTTACCTGACTTGGTACCATGATGTCTAAGGTAACCAGTCAACAAATTATATAATCCGGAGTCAAAAGTCGGTAATATGAAAATAGTCTATTGAGCACAACATTCTATAATCCTATCTATGAACATTTCAAGAAATTCATCAATGAGATATATACTCAGATATTTAGTTACAAAATGATGTGTATGTGTATAACCATGCATGTCAAGAAAATTACTTAAATTGTGCATGGGGCATGAATATTAATGATGTCATTAAGTAAATTAATATTTGAATTGGATTTTTTTTTAAATTTGTATACATAATTGTAGTTGAACCCACTATATATATATATATATATATATATATATATATACATAGATATACAGCTCAATTCGGTCAGTGCTGTTCATTGGGAATGTATTTCTACGCAGTCTCATGTTGTTGTAATATCTTAACTTTCGTCACCTGTGAAATTTTAGAAATGTACCAGTTCATATCTCACATTACTATTTTTGTAAGAAGCATACGTCATTTTTGAAATTTTATAATTGTACAAGCGTTGTTGTGTTCGGTTTTAATTGTATAAATTTAAAGATTGTTATAGTTAAATCAGAATAGATTGAGATGATTCATTTTACATCACAATCATACTGATGAAGGATATCTGTTATCCGAAATATTTATTTATAATTACATTTTATGTTTCCTTTTTTACATCGCGATGACCTTGAGGTCATTCCGATGTATTGCTATCGCCTAGATTTCCATTACGTAAATTAGTTATGGGTTTGTAACCGATCTATAAACATGATAAATATGCGCACATAAACGAATGCAAAATAACATTCCTTATCGTTTGATATAAATACATCTCTTCAATGAATACTGATAAAAATATTTTTGTTTACAACATAAATTAATAATATGAAAATGTTTTGTAGTTAGATATATATATATATAAGTAAAAAATCATTGATAATATCAATGCACACGTACCGAAAAATTGTGTTAAAGCATGCGGAAGAATATCTCAAAGAACGTTTTGAAGGACCGGTAACTCTGTAATTGTTTTTGCGGGAAAATATGAATGCCTACTCGTATCCAATCTTAGAAAAATCGAATTTTTACAGAAAAGTGTCCACCATGCACTTGCATTGCACTATTATTAGAATAGTAGAATAGAATGATATACAAATGGATGCAAATCATATATGTATGTAACTGTTATTTTAATATAATATATAACAACAAATCAGTGTATACTGATTTGTATCACTACAATATAATACATGTAGTTATTACGGTGAAGATGAATTTCCTGTCATTTATTCATCATCCACGCACGAACTTGTCTCAGAAAAAAATATATCTCTGTACATTAACCTCAGTTTCAGGTAAAGAGATATGTTGTTTTTTTTTTTCTGAGACAAGTGCTTTTGACCATCCTCAAGAACTTGTGGTCATCCGATGTTCAGTACTTCAGTACTTTGATTTTAATATTGGTGTTGTTTTGTACACTTTTTAGGCGTTTATATAATTTATTTATTGTGTTCATGTATCCAGCGCCCTCGTAAGAAAGATCGTTGACTAATATCTAGACGTTATATATATATATATTATTAATTCGTATATTTTAACAAATTTGATTCGTTTAGGGATAGTCACATGTTAAACTATATTTTCGAAGGTAGAGAGAAAACGGCGGATAGCAAAAAGCATATTGCACAGCAAAATGCATATTGCACGGTTATTTTTAGAATATCTAAAAACCGATATACTTTGTGACGTCATGTAATGAATTTCAGGATATTGTTCAACGTTTTGAAACAAATGACATCTGTGATCGATTATTTGACAAAATTTTTTTTTAAATACATAAGATGTCAAACAAACAAAAAAAAGTAAATGAAATAACAACTAATATGTTGTTATTGTCAAGGAGACAATATCATATCTATAAAATTCCAACAAAATCAAATGACGATTTTGATACAAATATGGTCGAAAATTAATAATATAACAAATATAGCCTTTGTATGAGGTCAATACAGGATATATCGACCCAAAGAAGTATATCGACCTCGGACTTCGTCCTCAGTCAATATACTTCTTTCAGGTCAATATATCCTTGTATCGACCTCATAAAAAGGCTATATTTGTATAATATATATATATATATATATATATTTCTCTAATTCTTCGTCAATTTATCCCTTTCTGCACCCATTGTATAAAAAGATTTAATCAACGTGCGGTTCGTTTGATCTCAGTTCTTCATTGGTTAAAATCCGATTATGACGTCGAATTTACTTGCTTTCCTCTGAATTTCCTATTGTGACGGCATGAAAAAAGGCGACCATGCCTGATGACGTCACATAGAAAGAACACATCTTTTTACAGATCATTCGAAAAGACGGAATAAGATTGCCTGCATATTGTTTGAAATTAATTAGAGAAACAGATTCAACCACCAAATATCGTGTAATACGATATTTATCCACTCTCGACAGTTAAATTTTAAATATTTAAAACGCTCGGCGAGCCTCGCGTTTTAAGTTTGAAAATTTAACTGTCTCGAGTGGATACATATCGTATCACACTCGATGCAGTGGTAGAATCTATATATAAACGACCGGTGCCGCTATCAGATAACATAAGCATTCATGACCTGAATATGGCTTCTACAATATAGAAAGAAGACACTGAGTGTATCTATGTTTACTTTTATAAATTTTGACTTGGATGGAGAGTTGTCTCATTGGCACTTATACCACATCTTCTTATATCTATATACAACACAATCAGTTTTCAATACAGATAATATTATACTTACTGCATGTCTGTTGTTCGGCTTCCCAACGATTAGCAGTAAAATCGTCAATTTGTTTACCGTCCTTCCTTACACAGTAACATCTGGAATTGGCAATAACACTGATACAAACAAGGACATATTTTATATCTAACATAAACATATAAATACATCATATAATAAACTGACAAAAAAACCCGGACATATTATATTTTTCTGAATATAAACTTTGGCGCAGTAGTTCTGAAAATACATTTTTTTACCTGTGAATTGTTTCGCGGGCAAGAAACGGGATTCAGATCCAATTTCGTTCAAAACTTTCTATATTGTTTAAATTGAATAATGTCAAAACAATGGCCTATTCGATGTCAGAAAATCTTCTATTTTTTCGCTTAAAATACCTTATAGCTACGATAAACAGGCGTATGCATTGATGGCAACAGTAGTTAACTGATGTCCAAGTCTCACGAATCATGAAAGAAAACACAAATCAAGGTAAAAATTTGATAAGCATTAATTTTCCTGCTATGCATGAATCAACTGTCATGCGAATCCACACTCAATTAAAATGTCAAAATCGGTAAATGATACAGCGGTAAATTTACAGACCAGACAACTATTATGGTATCTTAAGATATAAGACCTCGACAATATGTCGCTAGTGAGTTCTTACTCACAACTTTGAAAATCAGTTTTTGTATCAGGTGCACACCCTGTTAATAAAGTCCGTATAGTGTGAACATGCACGAACATAACTTATTATAAATAAGAATATGTGGTATGAGTGCCAATGAGACAACTATCCATGCAAGTCACAATGTGTAAAAAGTAAACAATTATAGGTCAAAGTACGGCCTTCAACACGGAGCCTTGGCTCACACCGAGTAGTAAGCTATAAAGGGCCCCAAAAAGACTAGTTTAAAACAATTCAACCAGGAAAACCAACGGTCTAATCTATATAAAAAACGAGAAACGAGAAACACTTATGAACCACACCAACAAACGACAACCACTGAACAACAGGCTCCTGACTTAGGACAGGTGCATAAAAATGCAGCGGGTTTAAACGTTTTAACAGGCGCCAACCTTCACCCTAACCTGAAACAATGGTATAACATTACAACATAAAAAGACACAAATATAAATTGAGATATGTAAACGCCATACGATGAGGCAGATGGTTTGTTACTGTTAAGAAATGGTGAGTTGACGATTGGAAAGTTAAAATTATCACGTTTGTGATAGATTACAGTTTCAAATCTTCCATGTGTGTCAATATCAATATATGAAGCAGATGTGTTAATTTCGGAAGTATCCTTAATACACTGGAATATTTGCGATGCAAGCACTCACTAAAATGTGGGTTACACCACTGTCCTAGGTTAGGGGGAGGGTTGGCGCCTTCAAACTAGTTTAACCCCGCCACATTCTGTATGTGCCTGTCCCAAGTCAGGAGCCTGTAATTCAGTGGTTGTCGTTTGAATTGTTTTACATTTGTCATTTCGAGGCCTTTTATAGCTGACTATGCCGTATGAGCTTTGCTCATTGTTGAAGGCCGACCTATAGTTGTTAATTTCTGTGTCATTTGGTCTCTTGTGGAGAGTTGTCTCATTGGCAATCATACCACATCTTCTTATTTTTATATTGAGTCGCAAACACGTCATCAATGTATGCATGATCATGCATGTTTCAGAAAGTGAAATTAGATAGCTGTGCGCATGCAAAATGCTCTATATTTTTGTCTATGGAAAATTCTGCATGTCGGCTAGTTGGCCATATTCTACCGAAGAAAGAATGGTAGTATGTTAAGTCGAACATTTATCAGCGCTTCGGTGTTGACATGAATTATCATTGATATGGTCATAATTATTAATTAACTGTTTACAAAACTTTTTTCGAAATACTAAGGAATTTCTACCCCAGGAATAGATTACCTTAGCTTTATTTGGCAAAACCTTTCGGAATTTTGGGTCCTAAGTGCGCTTCAACTTCATACTTTATTTGGGCCTTTTAACTTTATTGATTTGAGCGTCACTGGTGAGTCTTTTGTAGACGAAACGATCGTCTGGCGTACAAAATAGTCTTTTGAAGAGCATTGATCACAGGCACTTGTCACAGAAATTTTTTTCCCTATATACCTTAATATAACAAGGTATATAGGGGGAAAAAATTCTGAGACAATTGCCTGTGGCATTGATTGCCAAATATTCCGAAAGGTTAAGCCAAATACAGCTAAGAGATCTTTTATTGAGTAGAAAATCCTTCGTATTTCCAACAATTCAAAGAACTTAACTCCAGTTCGTACCATCAGCAAAATACTTCGGAATATGAAATACAAAATAACTTATCTTGGAACCAACATAAAGATACTATAAAAAAAGACGGATTCCACCAGTATCTTCCTTAATTGAAACCTGCATGGTTACGCCAAACACCATAACGATACTATAGAAAAGGCAAATTCCACCAGTATCTTCCTTAATTGAAAGCTGCATGATTGACCGCAAAACACCATAAAGATACCATAGAAAAGGCGAATTCCACCAGTATCTTCCTTAATTGAAATCTGAATGGTTGATTGCCAAACACCAAAGCGAATTTTACACCGCTCTTTTTCGTCGTCTTGTTGAACAGATACTCGTATGAAACTGCAACTGTTCATAGGTAATAACATGTTCAAAGGTGATTTGTCTGCAAAGACTTGAGCTGTCAAAGCAGGGTAACCAAAATGCCCAGCAAGTTAAAATGGTGATAAAATGGGACTCTCTATAAGAACGACGGACAAGATCCCAACTTGTCGTGATGTTCAAAATACAACATCAATTTGTTTCAATTCCAGCTCCAACTTATCTTGTACCGTTCACAAGATCGAATCGAGTTCACGAAAACCGCTTTTAAAAACGACATATATCAGAATACGCGTATACAAATACTCATTCTTTCAAACAGCTATTCGGCTCTGTAACACATCGCCAGTAACAGTTGAAAGACTTCGGTCTCTGGAACAATTTATCAGAGTCATTACAAGATCCAACTGACACCATAAGACACTTCCAGATTTTATCACCGTTCTGTTTTGGAAACGGTATAGATCTCAACGTTAGTATATACTATACTTCCATTCCTGGTCTCAGCACAAAGGCTATATTTTCTAGTTTAGAAGTCTGTATTGAAGAAGAAGAAGAAGAAGAAGAAGAAGAAGATTCCCACTGGTTAACTGTGAGATTTAAGCAAGTACAGTATACCTTCTTCAGTGTTTTATTAACCAATTGTGTCTTATTCCCGAATGTTACATAATGACTGAACTCAAATTCGTATGGCGGGTGATGCATGCATATCAGTAGATGCTAATCCTGTTGATGCATCCGGTCTCGCTCCTTTTGGAGTGTATGCGATTCTCTCAGTTTTTGTTTGTTACCTTGATTTGTCTCAGTAGATTTGAACATCGGTGAACTACTGTCGCTTTAATTCTACATTCCAGCTGTGTAAAAAAAGTAACTGGTAAAAGTATCTTGGTAGTAATATTGTTAGGGATAATTATGTGATGTTGAAAAGCATCCCCGAGATAAAATTGAAGGACATTGAAATAACACTTTATAAATATGATGCTTTCGAAGTGCTTTTTAGGGTTAAACGTCACCAGGAACACTCCGCCCATTTAATTTGAAAACCAAGGATGTATAATATAGGCTTGAAAACTTAAGCATGAAGCCTGTTTTTAAACATGTACTTGACATGAATATTAAATGAGATTGTAATACCATTAATGGTTAAAAATACACCTAATGTATAACCAAATCCGGAAAAGGGATCAGAGCTTTGCACGAGTGAGATATAATCCTTAATTCAAAATATTTTCAAGATTTTATAACAGCAAATTTCAATCAAACAATATCAGTATTTTCATGCCAGGACCGAAGTAGTGGCTACTGAGCTGGTGTAATGCTCCTCGGGGATTATCAGTCAACCAGCAGAGGTATCGACCCTGTGGTATTAATAACATTAACGGAACAAATTGTATTGCATTATAGATATAAATAAGAAGATGTGGTATGAGTGCCATTTCGACAACAGATGTCTCTTGAGTAATGTTCGAGGCCATATACGAAAAAACAATATTTGAAAAATCAAAACCTAAACAAATATTGAAGAGCTGAAAATCTTCTTCGTTCCAAAAAAGGACCTAAATAATAGCCAAATACAGACAAAAAATCAGAGCTTTGCACGAGGAAAATTTACTGATTACTTGATTTTTGAAAAAATCCCAAAATTTGATTACAGCAAATTTCGATTAAATAATATCCGAAGTACTGGCTACTGGGCTGGTTATACCCTCGGTACCATTGTTACCAATGTTACCAAACAGTTTTTAGATGATAATTTTATTTCGACAATTAATGTCTCTTTAGTGATTTATCTGGGATAAACGAAAGTCCAGATAATAAATATTAACGGAGAGGAAGTCATAAGTTTATCTGAATATAACATTCATGTATTTAGCTAGATTTTTTTTTCGTCTTGTCTTTAAGAGTGTATAGATTTAGTTTTTTTATTAGAACAAGAACAAGTGGTCTAGCAGGACATTGTACCAGTTGGAATACCGACTAGAACACCGACAGTCTGTTGAAATGTCAGTCACCATATGTTGTCGATCAAAGAGTCCATCATTTCACAATTCCTTCTATGGAGTTTCTATTACTGGAATTCGTTTTGATCTTAAGAAGTAGAAGATTCCAAATCGCAATGAAAAACCAAAAAACCTCTTAGTCTCTAATAGTTGTGAACTTTTAGACATCATCGAATCTTTACATATGGATTCGTCATTAAACTGATATCAACTCTCTTGATCAATTCAGACAAACTTGTATCCTAGTGATAATCTGCAGTTAATTTTCAAAATGTAGGGCTTGGGCATACACTTTTTGGACATTTGCCCAACAATTCACGAAGAGGATCAGTATTGACAATTCAAGGTAACTTTTGATAGATATACTGAAATATCAAATATTAAAATGTGTCCGTGTTTATCTGTTTTATTCAGAGGTTGTGGTATTCAGCTTTACTCGATCTATTTTTGTTCCAGGGAAACTCCTTCCTTAATCGCAGTATACTGACAGTATTTTGTAAGTTTTGATTAAATATATGCAAGAGTTATTTGAACATCAATAATTTGTTTTATTATTTGTATTTTGTCAAGTTTTTTTGCAGCAAAACTTATTTTGATATATTTTACTTTCGATTTCATGACTCAGCCTGTTTATAGACTGTTTAATATATATATTTTACCTTATATGTTGACGGTTTGGTGTCTTGACGCGTAATTTCTAAC